GGGGCCGTCCAGACAGACAGCGGCATCCAAGAGGTGGTGGGCGGCCCCAGACGTGCCGCACCTGCAAGGACAGGTCCCTGGAATGGCCCCCCAAGCCCACCCTAAGGCCCGCGCCCCGCAATCCGTCCCCGAGTGGCTGCCACGCAGGAGGTGACGTGCCTCGCAGCAGATGGCTCCACTCTGAAGAGGCCTCAGATCCACAACAACCCAGCACCCCTCCCGGACAGAGCGCGGGTTTCCATTTCTGCATCCAGCCCTCCTTTGGCATCCTGGCTCTCAGATGGCTGGTCCTCCCCTCCAGGACGATGGGGTGTCTGGGAAGAGGGTGCCTCCCCCACACAGGCGGCTCTGCAAACATTAGGGCGACCATCTCCAAACAAGACGGGCTCCACAAGCGCTCCGGGGACCCACCCCTGCGGGTCAGCCCCATACCCCATGGCTCCCAGCCTGGAGCAGCGCCTTCCTGAGAAGCCTGGGAACAGCTTGACGCCCAGGTACCGGGTTTCCCACAGCACCTGCCCCTGGCCACCCTGGCCGCACACACTGATCCCCCTCCAGCCACAGAGCCTCCCCCTCCCTGTCCCCCAGCCTCAAGTGGAGCCTGATGTGGCCACATAGGCCCTGAGCACCTCAGCGCAAACCCCATAAATGCTGCCCTGGGGACAGCCCAGAGGCGGTGGGCCGGGGGCCATGGCAGGAGGCTCCCCCCACCCACATGTGTACCCCGTGGGTGCCGTGGCCACCCAGCTGTGCGGGCGGGCAGCGGGCGTGGCGCCCTGGAGGTGGCAGTTACCTCCAGAGTGACTCATTAAGGCTCTGTTCCTTTGCAAAAGGGGGTACAATTTAGCATTTTCTTTCTCTTTAGAAAACAAGAATTTTAAAGCTGGGAGTAAAGAGGATTTGAGGGCGTGGGGGGGGGGTTGGGATCTCATGTGATTTCCAGGCTGTTGTGCACTCTCAGCCCCCTCCCATCCCAGCCCTTGGTGGGGGTACCGATCACCCCTGCCCGGCCTGGCTGCAGACCCCCAGGACCAGCCCGGGGCATGCCCCCTCCACACTGGGGGCCCCGAGGGCAGGAGAAGAGCGGGGAGGAGACCCCCAGGCACAGGCCAGCAGGGCCGGAGGGCCGAGAAAGGAGAAAAAGCAGCCCTAGAGCAAACTTACAGCAGGTCCTGGCTCCCAGCTATTCCCCTCCCCGTCCCGACCCCCTGGTCGCCGCTGAGGACACTGAGGCCTACAAGGACTCATTAAGGTGAGCCCGGATGGAGCCAGCGGCCTCTCTGTCCTCTCCGTGATGCAGCCTAACTGCCAGGGATGTGTATCCAAGCAGGGACGAAACCCCCATCCTCCTCCAGCCTTGCCTCTGGCTTCAGGGGCTCCCAGGATGAGACACTCTGTCCTCCTGGGGCTTGGTGTCCTCATCCACAAAGTAGGAGGAACACAGAGCCTCCCCCACAGAGACACACTCGAGCCAATGCAGAAGGAGCAGGTGACATCACGCACGTGCCAGGGTGTCCCCTCGCCCCTGGGCTGCCCACCACAGCACCCAGAACCCACGGGGACATCCCCACTCCCCACAGAGCATTCACACCCTGTCCTTGGTGAAAATGGCCCCAGAAGAGGGCCCTGGGTTCCCCAGCCTGTTTGCGGCCCTGCTAACTTGAAGGTGGGACCAGAAACTCCATGCCCCCCCACCCCCACAGGCCACACATTCACACCTTCTGGCCAGCCCAACTCGGACTCAGCCCCAGCAAGGGGGGAGTCCAGCCGTAAGCTCACACTCTGGGTCCCCCCCCCCCCCCCCCGAGGACTTCCCAGCACCTGCCAGGGGAACAAGGGCCCATTGTGAGGACAGGGGCTTCCAGGCCTGAGAGGCAGGCAAGGGGGGCCGCTCAGCAGAGGAGCGGGAGCTGCAACACCTCCAACGCTGCAGGAAAGTCCCCGAAGGCTTCCTGAAGGCAAAATTTCAGACAGGCCTTGAGCCGGGACACTGGCCTCCGATTCAGCCCCTGTGTTGGCTCTGGGCCCCCAGGAAGGGGACCCTGCAAAGCCATCCTGGCACCCTAGGGCCTGGGAGCTTCCCCATGTCCACAATGATGAGGATGACAACTACGGGGTCATGCCTGGAACCCCCTGCCATCTCCCAGGGTCCTGGGAGCCCCTCCCGTCCTCCGGAGAGCCGGCCTCCACAAGATGTATCCCCTGGGGGATGGGTCCCCTGCCTATCAATCCCTTGCGAGATCAGTCCCCTGCCCACACAGCCCGCCAGCACCTCCCCCCAGAGCTGAGCCAGCACCTGGAGCTCAGAAACTGGTTCCTCCGGCCTGGACGGCCCAGCCCTGCCCAGACGAGGTCCCGACCGCGGGCACTGGCGACACTGGGGTGGCGGGAACAGAACAGCCCCTCCTATGAGCCAGCTCTGCTGGCCGGTCTCGCCCCCTCACAGTGGGTGATAGGGCCACCAAACACCCAGGCTCCCCCCCTGTCCCATTCCCCACTGCTGTGCTACTTCCTGAGTTCTTCCTGCCCCCACCCCACACACCCCTCCCAGGCCTACGCCCTTGGGTGCCTCCAGCCACCCTCTGGGTGCTCGCCCTCCTGTGCCCCTCCACACACACCTCTTCCTCTGTCCGACCCGACCCCAGGCCTGCCCAGCGCCACCTGCCTACCCCACTTCAGCAGCCTAGAGACCGCTGGCCTTCACTGAGCCATACCGCCTGTGGCCTCACTGCCCACAGGTAGCCCTAGCGCAGAACACGGGCCCTCCCTGCCTCCCCTCTCCTCTCCAGACTGGGTGCCTGCTGGGCACCACCACAGGTCTGGCCTGGGAACGGACAATAACTTGTGTGGGATCTGCACTCTAATCCACGCAATCCCTTCTGGAAGTACCTGGATTCTCCTGGCAAAGTAGAAGTCCTTCTATGGCCTCCTTCAGTGACGGTCCCTGGCTGGCTGCTTGGGCCGCATACTGCGTGAGCCCAGGAACACCACTCACCTGCCCACAGTCACACACTGTGCTGGCTCCACAACCCCTGGCTCTCCTGCCCCCCACTCCGCAGGCGTCCGGCCAGTGTTCAGGGGGAATGTCTCATAGGCCCCTCACACCCACAGCCTCCACCTCAGCCTTCAGCCTCCCTTGGTCCTAACGTCACCCCCCTTTTAGACCGTCGCCCTGCCTGTCTGCAGCTGGCAGTCCAGAGCAGCCAGCACTGTGTCACGGCCCCACTTTGGGCCCCTGTCCTCAAGGATGCCTCTGTTCCAAAGCTTCACCTGTGTAGCTCCCCCACATACCATCCCAACAGCCGTTTTCAGGTCAGTAGGCTCAGGGCCTGAAGAGGCCCGGGGACATCTACAAAATGCAGAGTCGTCCGGAAGGGCTGGGCACAGTCCCATCTTTCTGAGTCCCTGGCTGCACAGAGGAGGGGTCAGCGCTGCCCAGAAGGGAAGGGCCACACTCAGCACCGAGGCAGGAGAGACGAGATGTTGGAGCAGCACGAGGTGCTGATGCCCCAGGCAGGGCGGCTCTCCACTTGTCCCTAAAACAGTCCAGCGGACTCTCAGCCACGGCAGAGCAGGGGCCAGACCGCACTCCCTGTCCATCCGTGGGGGCCACCTGACTGGGCAGTGACAGAGAAAGTCCACCACGTACCACCCTCCGAGTCCCACAGACCCGGCTCTGCACCCAGGCTGTGCCCACACTCTCTGGGCCACCTTAAGGAGCTGTCTCTCTGAGTATCTGTTTCGGATGTCTTGGGTGGGGGTGGCTGGTGAGAACCATCCCCCCACCCCCACCCCGGCACTCTGCATGTGGCCTGGAATGCGTTGGCTGCTACTGTAACAACACAACGGCGCCCCGGCAGGTGATCCATGCAAGTGCACACGCATGCACACACAGGCTGGGGGTGGTGGGCGGACACACGCCCTGCCATTTGCCCTCTGGGAGCAGCGGGGGCGGGTAAGGCCTTGGGCTCTCACAGGAGGGAGGGACACAGCATTTCCAGCTGGCCTGGTGTCATCTCCCGGTGCCTCCCACAGCTCCTCAGTGAGAAGGAGGTGTTCAGATGGGCTCCACATTTGCTGTGTCCCTCCCCAGCCGAACTCCTGGGGGCCCTGAACCACATGCCCAGTCTGTGCACAGGGGCATCCCAAGAGGTGCCCATGGGGCGGCCATGGATTTGCACAGGGCCTGGGGTGCTCACACTGAGTGTGCGTGTGTACAGGGGAATTCATACCCATTCCAGCACTGCTGCTGCTGGTGGGTAGAGGGGTGCGTTGGTGCCAGACCAATGCCGAGTCCCGGGGGATGGCACAGCACCTGCCAGCATCACAGGCTGGGGATGAGTTCACGGTGGATTCACACATGCCAGCCCCGCCAGCAGGCCCTGCTGAGCCCACAGTGTGCGGCTAGCCTTGTGGGCGCCCCCACCCCGGGGTCCAGCGCGGGCACCTCCGGATCCCTAGGGCCCAGCTCCGGGCCTGACACACAGCGCGTGGGGGTGAATGAACGACCGGCTGAATGAATGAAGGAACGAATGCTGCCGCCCACTGCCTCTCACCGCCCACGGGCCCCAGAGGAGGCCCCACCTTCACACCCCCACCACCCTGATGCTCTGTCCCCGGGGTTGGCTCCCAGGCGGCGCGCGCGCGGGGCACCCCTCCTTCCCGAGGAGAAATCTGGGTCTCCTGACGGAGCTTGGGGGGGAACCGCCGCGTCCCGGGGAGAGCGCGCTGCAGGGCAGGGGGCGCGTCCAGGCTGCGCAGGGGGCGTGGGATGGAGCGGCGGCCCCGGGGCAGCCCTGCGGCGCCCGCGCCTGGGGGAGGGGGACGGCCTGACCGGCCCCGGCCCCCCCACCCCGCCCGCGGCGCCCCTCCCGGCGCCTCTGCTGCCGGGGGTGCAGGAAGGACGCTGGGCGCTCGGCCCTCCCCGGAACCTCCGCCCACCTGCGCGGGGGCTCACCTGCGCCCGCGGCCCCTCCCCCGGCCGCCCGCCCTGCCCTCACCTGCGCGGCCCGCCTGGGCCATGTCCCGGGCGGGGGCTCCGGCTGGTCCCCGCGCTCCTCGCCGCTCCGGCCCGGCCCCGGCCGCCCAGCCGCCTCCGGCCCGAGCGGACTCCGCGCCGCGCCCCGCGCCCCGCGCCCCCGCCCCGTGCGCCTCGGCCGCCGCAGCCGCCGCCTCGCGGCTCCCTCCCGCTCCTTAAAGGCGCCGAGTGGCGGCGGCGCGGCCGGGGAGGGGCTGACGAAGGGCCCGGCGCCGCCTCCCGCGCCGGCGCCCCGCACCCCTGCCCGGCCACCACCGCAGCGCGCGGGGGGCGCACACGCGAGAGGCCCTGCGGCGCGGGCGGGGGCGCGGGGGGCGCAGCGCCAGGGGACACCCCCGGGCCAGACACCAGCGGGGGGGGCGGGGGCGGGGGGGCAGAGGAGGCTGAGACCCAGGGCCTGGCGCGGGAGAGACACAGAGCAGCGGGAGGGGAAGAGGGGGAGCCCCGGATGGTCGCCGGGGAGACAAGGCCCTCCCTCCCAGAGCCCCCGCGCCGGGGTCGGGACCTTCCAGGCCCTGACCTAGCCTCAGCAGGGAAGGGGCCTCGGTGCCCTTAACTGTGCAGGAACGCGTGCATCCCACCTGAGATTTCGAGGTGTGGGGGGAGCGGAGTTTAGGGAGCCCAGCGACCCAGTAGTGGCCCACACACTTGGTAGACCTGACTGCAGACAACCCCGGGAGCAGGCTGGAAGGAGGCTTCTGTGGGGTGCAGCTCAACACGGCTGGGAGCTGGCCCGGGCTCAGGGTTGCTCCCGGTGCTTGGGCGGGAGCCAGGCTGGGCCTCCAGGCCCATGGGCTCCCCACACCTGCCAGCCAGCCCCGCCTAACCCCCTGCTGCTGCAGGGGGAACTGCCACAGGCCCTGCCCCGCTGCAGAATTGGCAAGGGCTAAGCTCAGGCACCATCTGCAGGTGGTGCCCCACCTGCCCCAGCCCACCCCCACCTCCTGGGGGAAAGGTCCATTGGAGAATTGCCCCCTGGGCCAGCCTCAGTCCTCACTGCAAGGTCCCCCTAGGTCCTGGGGAGTCCTTGGCTCCCCTAGGCTACGGGGGCCTCTGGGAGCATCGAGTCCACCAACCTCTTGGGGCTTTGACTCCATCTGCCAGATCCTCAGCAAGTGGCCTGCACCTCCTGGTTGATTACATCTAAGGACAGGAAGCTCAGTACCCTAGGCAAGAGCACTTCCATCCTTGGATGGTGCTGCCCATGGGAATGTTTTCATTAAAGCAGCCATCCACATCTTATATGACCCACGTGTGGCTCCTTCTGAGTGGTGCCCCAGCTAACAAAACCGAGGCTTCCCAGGCCCCTCTGTCCAAATGCTCTAGTGTGGCTTCACCTTGGAGGACCAACCGTCCTGGTTTGCCAGAGACTGAACGTCTGTCAGTCCCCAGAACTCTGGGTCCTGGAACCAGACCTTGGCACTAACTCCAGTAGAGAGAATTTCAGAAGTGCCAAGGTGGGGAACTGCAGCTGGCCAGCAGCTGCTCCCCAGTACCTGGGGACAGTGGGCATGGGTGTGGCATGGGTGTGGCCATGGGGACTGGGTGGGCAGGCATTTGCTTGCGGCTCCACGGCTGTGGCTCCTGGAAGCCGAAGGTACCCTCGGTGTGCTGTGCCATCCCTGGTTCATGCAGAAGAAAACAAAGCTGAGAGACTGCAGTTGGTGGTCATGCAGGTTTGGATGGCAAGCCTGTGCTCTGTACGTGGTACCTGACTGTCCTCACCTTCCCCTGTGAGAGGCCTGCCTGCCTGGGCTGTGGGCATGGATGGTCGCTGGGGAGCAACAGGCCTGCCTGTGGTGGGGCACATCTGGGCCTGAGCACCTCCCTGGGCCCTTTGACTCACAGTGGCTGCGGCTTGGCAGGGGCCCTGCTACTTCCTGGCACCTCCTCATGTGTGTGTGCCAGTGTATGCATGTATGTGGGTATATATTGTGTGTGCACGTATATGTGTCTGCATGTATGTATATGCATGTATACATGTGTGTCTGTATGTGTACATGTGTATACGGGATTGTGGGTTTAAATGCATATGTGTGCATGTGTATGTGACTGTGTATATGCATGTGTGATCTGTGGACGTATATAGATGTGTGTGCATGTATACATATAAGTGTGCATAGGCACACGTGTGTGTATCTGTGGATTTGTAGGTATATGCAAGTGTGTATAGGCATGTGTGTGGCATGGGTGTAGATGTGTATATGGGTGTATGTCCATATATGCATGTGTTGTATATGGGTATGTGTGTGCATGTATGAATAGGCATTTGTGGGTGTAAATGTGTCTAGATATATATGTTTGTGCATGTGTGTATATGCATGTGTGTACATATGTATGTGGCTGTGTATATATGCATGCCTGATGTATGGATGTGTACAGATGTGTGTGTATGTGTATGTATGTGTGTGCATGTGTGTATATGGATGTGTACATGTGTATATGGGCATATGGGGGGTATATGTGTTGCTGTGCATGTATTGTATACACGTATACATACATGTGTGTGGGTGTATGTATATGGAGGTGTGTGCATGTGTATGTATGCTTGTAGATGTGTATAGGTGTGTATGTGTGCATGCATATGCATGTGTACATGTATCTAGAGACATGTACATGTAGATGTGTATAGAGGTGTGTGCATGTGTAAGATGTGTATGGGTGTATATGCATGTGTGTTCATGTGTATATGGGCATGTGTGCATGTATATGTGGGTGTATATATGCATGTGTGGTGTGTGGGTTTGTATGGATGTGCATGTATGTGTGGGATGTATATGAATGTATGTGTTGGTGTGTATATATGCACGTGCAGCACACGCATATGTGTGTATATGGGCATGTGTGGTGTGCAGATATGTACATGCTTGTGTGCATATGCATGTGTGCACATGCACATGCAAACACACACAAACACATCCTGCTCAAGGAAGGTGCACGGCGGGTGGCATCACCAGCTGCCAAGGAAGTTCTGGCCCTGCCTCCAGGCAGAGCAGACACGGGACCAAACACCCTCAGATTAAGGGGGTGGGCGGGGAACTTTCTGCATCACAGAGATCATTCTTACCTGAAGAAGAATTAGCCAACCATTTACAGGCACCACCCTGGGCTGTCTGAGGGAGGACACTTCCTGGGCGCCCTGCTCTGTGGCCGGTGTCCCCGCTGGGGCAGCTCCCAGGCCCAAGGACGTGTGTACAGAATGGACCCATCACAGAGCCCTGGGCACCAGGAGGCGGGAGCTGGCCTGGACTGGGTCAGGACAGCTGGTGTCCGGGCACTTGGAAAGGTAAGTGACCATCATCAGGAGCCCACACAGCCCCACAGAAAGGCACTCACGCCCAGCTACACTCATTTCCTTTCTGGACACGCTGGCTGGCAGGGAAGGTCCTGCGGTGCCCACCAGGCCTGGCACGGCTGCTCATCCCTGCCTGCTGCTGGTGCACATTAAGGGAGGGCCTGGGGCAGGGCCTGAGGCCTCATTGGCCTCACCTCTGGCCCTACCCGAACCTCTGGAGGCACCTCCCTGGCCCCAGGAAGTTCCGGGTGTTGTCTGCTGCCGTTGGGGCCACTCAGTTCACAGACTCAGCCTCAGAGGCTCCTCCCTGACGTGGAGCTGCCCCAACTCCTGCCCCCCCACAGGAGACCCAGGGTCCCAGCGCCCTGCCCTCCTGGCTGGCAGCTGTGGCCTATCTGGCCTTTGCGTCTACCTTCCACCCCTGGAGCTGGACCAGTGCAGCCCTGCACTGCAGAGTCAGTAAAGGAGGTGCCAGGTGGCCCGTGTGCTCACTTGCGATCTCCAGAAGAGGCAAGAAGATCCCTGAAGATGAGCTAGTGACCCCTCCTGTGAGCCTCGGACCTGGTGCGTGAGGACCCCCCCGCTGGGGCAGCCCTGCCCCACAGGCCACACTGAATGCTCCGCATTCCTGCTGGGTGCCTCCGAGCACGGATGCAGCATCTAGACAGCCGTGCAAACGCATCCTCGGTGTTGTCTGAGGACGTGGGGGTGACGTCTCACAGAACTTGCCTGCCAAGGTCATGGAGAGGCACTGTGCTCCCCGGCCTGCTTTGCGTTGCTGAGCACAGGACGCCTGCGGGGCTGCGGGCTGGGTTTCCAGGGACGGCACAGTGGGATGGAGCCGCTGTGCTGTGCTGTGTGGCCCAGTAGGTCCCTCTCCTCTCCCCCCGCCGCCTCCCACTATGGCGAGCTGCGCTTGCCATCAGGGCTACTGAGTGTGGGGCCCCAGCAAGGCCACTCACACTCACACCACGTGCAGCAGGAGCGCTCGCTGTCCACTCACCCGTCAGCTGAGCCTCCACTGTATCCCGGCCCCAAACTCTCACATGGTTGGCGCAGATTCCAGAACGCACAACCACACATGGGCATGAGTGACAAGGACCCCAGCAGTTCCCGATCACACCTGTAGCTGCGCAACAGGACAGGAGACCAAGTCCCACCACGTGCACGGGTGTCTGCGACCCCGCTCCACGCCTGCACTGGCCCTGGTGTGCCGGCCCCGGGCCCCTTCTTCTGCAGGAGCCTCACCTCTGCGGGGCACATGATGGTACAGAGCAGGACGGGTGCAGCCTCCCTGTCCTGGGTGAGCGTGCATAGACTCCACACAGCTGCTGGCAGCACGGAAAGCATTGCTGTGGTTCTGAGCTGCGTCCACGCCGACAGCAGTAGATTTGGTCTCTTCACTTCCTCCTGCGGAGCATTTCAGTGTAAGAACACGGCGTCTTGTTCTTGTAGCCCTCAGGGGCCCCGTGGACATGACGGCTTCTTGCCTGTGGACCTCGCTGTGTGTGCCTGTGCCCCCAGCCGGGAGACTCCGGGCACATACAGCATGGGCATGGCGGGGCTGACAGGGACACGCTTTCCCTAAACATGGCATTGCAAACTGCTCTCGGACACGTGGTACGACCGGCCCATGCAAGAACCTGACTTCCTGCTGGGGCCCACGGCCTGGAACTGTCCTCTGCCCCTGGGGTCCCTCGGCACGACTGTGGTACACAGTTCAGCTCCACGTCTGCAGTTCGGGGGCGGGGGGAAAGGGGACGGGGCTTGGGGGGGGGGGAAGGGGGGCGGGGTTCTGCA